GGAGCTCTGGTAGCGTAGTGGTTACAAATTGGACTGTGAACCACATGGTCAGCAGTTCGAAACTACCAGCTGTTCTGTGGGAGAAAGATGAGGCATTCTGCTCCCATAAAGATTTACAGCCTCGGAAACCCTGTACAGGGTTGCTATGAGTCGGAACCTACTCCACGGCGCATAACAACAACAACATAGGAGCTCTGGTAGTGTAGTGGTTACAAACTAGGCTGCTAACCTCAATGTCGGCAGTTCGAAACTATCAGCCATTCCACGGGAGAAAGATGAGGCTTTCTGCTCCCGTAAAGATTTACGGCCTCGGAAACTTTGTACAGGGTGGGTCACTATGAATCAGAACTGACTCCACGGTACTTAACAACAACAACAACACAATAAATTACAGTAATGGGTGAGGGACAAGTTCATATAATGCTTTGACTTTATCAATTGTTGTTAAGGATGAATTCTCACATTTAAATAATAAGGTTTACATTTACGCGAGGATATTCTTATATCACTATTACATAGAAATCTTTTTCATTAATTTGTAGAAAATCCCAGGCATAATAAAAAATTCAAAGAGAAGGTACATGTTTACTTATGACAAATATTTTATGAATACTTTGTTAGCTATGTAACAATAAAAATGAGAAATGTCTCAAGTTAAAAATATCTTAAAGAATTTTAACTATGAAAAGTCAGATGTAAATATTGATAAAGATTTCTCACTTTTCAAAAACAATTAATAGGCTTTTTATTTCACATTTAGGTGATGGATCTAGTGTGATGATGTATTTAAAGAAAAGTTTAAAACCATCTGTCATTTCTGTAAAAGTCTTTGGATCTCAGAAGTCAAAAGGCAAAGGGGCACTAAAAACAAAAGACAAAATAAATGAAATCTCATCAAACTAAAAAATTCATTTTACCAAAGGGCTTTATCAACAAAGTAAAAGGACACCAAACAAAATGGGAGGAAAGTTCTGAAACAATATATCTGGTAAAGGTTAACTATTTAGAATATGGAGTCCTGGTGTGGCACTGAAGCATCAAGGTTGGTGATAAAACCCAAAAGCCACTCCTTGGAAACCCTATATAAAGTCCCTATTAATCAGAACTGACTCAATGGCACTTATTAGCAATAAATGTAGAATGTATTCAAATTTTTCTATGACTTAAAAAGATAAGCAACCCAATCAAAAGTTGGCCAAGTAACATTTTTTTCACCAAAAAAGCACATGAAAAGATGTTAAACATAGTCATCAGAGACACAAATCAGAACCATAAGATGTCACTGCACCTCCAAAAATATACTAAAGATATTATTTTTTAGAAAGGAAAAAGAACAGGTACTGGTGAAGATATGGAGATATTGAAATGCTCATTAATTACTAGTGAGAATATAAAATGTGCAGCTGCTATGGAAAACAGTTTGGTTGTTCCTCAAAAAGTTCAACCTTAGGATATACTCAAAATTATTGAAAGAAGGTCCTCAAACATTGATATTTGTACACCAATGCTCATTATAGCACTACTCACAACAGCTCAAAGGCGGAAAACACTTAAATGTCCAACAGATGAATAGATGAATAAAATATGATCTATGCATACAATGGAATATTACTTAGCCATAAAGTGAAATTTAATCCTGATATATGCAACATGGAATCTTAAAAACAGGCAAAATGAAATTAAATCAGTTACAAAGGGCAAATATTGTATGAACCCATTTACAGAAAATAATCTAGGATGGGAAATATATAGAGACCAAAGGAGCTCTGGTAGCGTAGTGGTTACGAATCAGGCTGCGAACCTTAAGGTCAGCGGTTCGAAACTACCAGCTGCTCCGCAGGAGAAAGATGAGGCTTTCTACTCCCGTAAAGATTTACACCCTCGGAAACCCTATACAGGGCCGCTATGGGTCGGAACCGACTCAATGGCACATAACAACAACAACAAAGTTCAGTTAGTGGCAGGAAGAAAACAAAGGTCATTAAGAAGACAAGAAAGAAGGAAAAGACCAAAATGGATTATCAGAAGAGAGTATGAAACTTTCCTTCCAGCACAGAGATGCTAAAGCAAATGAAAGAAATGAGGAGGTAAAAGAGCTGAATAGAAAATTTCAAAGAGCAGCTTGAGAAGACAAGGTTAAATATCATAGCGAAATGTCAGAGAAAGAGAGGAAGACCCCCAATGAGATGGATTGGCATGTGGTGACAGAAGTGGGGTCAAATGTAGCAATGATTGTGAGGTTGGTGCAGGACTGGGCAGTGTTTTGTTCAGTTGTTCAAAGGATCTCTAGGAGTCAGTACCAACTCAATGGTACTATCAACAATCCTTCCTTGAATGATTCTGTACTCTTTCATTTTCATCAAACCGGCAGTTTTGGCATCCATGATGGACTCAAGTCATGTTTCTTTACCATGTTTTTTGAGTTTGGGGAACAAAAAGAAGTCTAAAAGGTAAGCAGGGCGATAGGGTGGATAGGGTAAGGTTTCCCCCCAAAATTTTCATAGGACAACCCATGGTGCCAAGAATGAGAAGGTGCGCATTGTCATGAAGGAAAAAAAAAAATCCTCAGTGTAACTTTCCTGGCCTTTTCTTTACAACATAGTTTTCAACTAAAAAAAAAAAAAATCTTCATAATAAACCCCCATGAGTATCCTGTGACCTTTGAGAAAATTGATCAAGATTACTTTTTTGGAATTCCAAAAAAAAGCTTCTGCTTTGAATTTAACTGATCCAGCAGCTCCCCTTGGCAGTCACTGTTTTAACTGGACTTTTTGCTTTCTGGATCGTATTGGTGAATCCAAGACTCAATCCTGGTCTGAGTCTTGGATATATAAAAATCTCATCAATTTCAGTGTTGCTTAAAAGACTAATGGAAAAATCAGTTTAAGCTAGGTGTATTTCATTGAATTTAATTAAGCTGAAAGCTTGCTGAGGTAAAAATATTCGTTTAAAATTGAAAACACCAAGCCATGTGAGAGTCCAACTTTAGTATCCATTGCACCAATAGTAATTCTATGGTTTTCTCCCACCAGTTTCTAGACTTCCACCAACAATTTTTTCAGTTACTGAGGTTAACTGTCTTCCCTCTCTTGGCTCATCTTTGAGGTCTTTCTGGCCTTTCTTAACACTGAACAACTATTGTTTTATGTGGGGCAGTATTCCAATAAACTTGTTGCAAAGCTTCAATGATTTGGCAAAATGTTCGTTTGAATTCTGTTAAAATGTGTTAATAGCCTTGACCTCAAAAAAAAAATAATTTTTTTTCAATCCCATTTTGTGAAGGCACCCTAAAGAGACTAAGTATTACTGAGAACTCGACTGCAAGTTCCATCATCCACTGATGGCAGAGAAATATTTTGTTTGAAATGAACCCATGTATGTATGAACTGGAGCCCCCTAAGTAGCAATACTTTCTGACTTATCATCATATATTTGCTACCAAAATAAAATAAAATGATAGATTATGTTTTTAATGATTAATTAATAATCTTCATAGCATATCAGCAAATTATACTCCTAGAAACTGCCCCACTTGAGACAGACTCAGTGACTACAGGAAAGGAAAAAAACTGGGCAAGTACTGGAGTGAGGAATGGCTTTGGAGAATGAGACCAAGGGAATGACTCATAATTGTCTAAATGGCCTCAGACAGGCTCCCACTGCTGATTTAAAAAATGGTCTGTCCTATTTAGCAAGATGCAAATAGATTTAACTGGTCCAGCAGCAACTCTTGGAAACCAACAGGTTTTCCCCATCAATATTAATAACTGAGGTTCCATTAGGAAATTAACATTACTGTTTCTGAAAACAAGTAGCCAGCTACTATCAACTATCTCAGATAATTTTGTCCCTTTGTATTCAGTTGAGCATTTTTAAAGCTATATTTATCACAATAATGGACTCTTGGAATGCACTGTAGGGTACACAATGGACTATGAACCACAAGGTTGGAAGTTCAAATCAACCAGCTGCTTCTTGGAAATCCTAAGCAGGGTCACTATGAGTTGGAATTGACTCCACACCCTCAACAACATCAACAATCATAATAATATCATGGGAGCTCGGTAACAAGCAATCATCTACACACTTGACCAAAAAGCAAGGACTAATAATTACATAGCTAGATACTTTAATTCGAAGACATTTTTTCACTAGTCATTTTAATCTTCCCTATAATCAAATCCAAGAAGCTGTGGTAAAGTAGTGGTTACATGCTGAGCTGCTAAATGAAAACTACCAGTTGCTCCATGGGAGAAAGGTGAGACTTTCTGCTAATGTAAAGATTTACTGCCTCAGAAACCCTATACAGTTGGACTTGATATGATGGGACACTACCACCATAATCAAATCCTGGTATAGTAATACAGTATAAGCCCTGGTACTGCTTGCTAATCACAACGCTGGCAGTTCAAATCCGCCAAGCAGCTCCTTGGAAACCTAAACAGGGTCACTGTGAATGGGAACCAACTTAATGGCACATAACAACAATAATAATTGAATCATTCAATATTTATTTACAGTTGGTTGTTAGTGATATTAGTGAAACAGAGCAAATTAACTCATTTAGAGGACAACTGAAAAAATTAGTTGACTTCTGAAAAGTAGTCAACTTTTCTGAAAAATATATATGTATCTTTTTAAAACATACATTTTTACCAATGACCCAATTACTTTCTTTCCTATATTGGAAATATTTAAGTATTTATAATAACATTATTTATTGTAAAAAATGCAAGTAATTCCCCCCCCAAAAAAAAAAAAAAAGCTAAAGAGGATAGAGAAAAACACTGTAAACTGATGATATATAGCGGGGATAATAATCAATGTAATGAAACAAGCTATATGAATGGTTGAATGTGAAGCTGATGATGTGCCCTGTAAACTTTCACTCAATGCAAAATAAAAACATTTAATTAAAAAAAAAAAATGCAAGTAATATAAAATGTAAAAACCAAGTCTTCCCCTCTTCTTTCTAGCTATCCAACATTGTTTTTAAGGATATTTCCACACTTCTATTTATTGAAAACAAGGCCAGGTGCAGATGCTGGAACAGACCATCAATTACTCAAAAGCAAATTCAAATTGAAACTTAAGAAAATGAAAACAAGTCCATGAGAGCCAAAATATGACCTTGAATTTATCCCACGTGAATTTAGAGATCATCTGAAGAACAGATTTGATACATTAAACTAACTAAAGACCGAAGACCAGAAGAGTTGTGGGATGACATCAAGAACATAATACGTGAAGAGAGCAAAAAGTCATTAAAAAGACAAGACAGAAGGAAAAGGTCAAAATAGATGTTAGAAGAGACTCTGAAACTTGCCCTCCAGCGCAGAGATGCTAAAAAAAAAAAAAATGGAAAAAATGAGGAGGTCCAAGAGCTAAACAGAAAATTTCAAAGATCAGCTTGAGAAGATAAAGCCAAATATTATAATAAAATATGCAAAGATTTGGAATCAGAAAACCAAAAAGGAAGA